GAAAGACAAAAACAGATAACAAGCATATTCTTGATTAACGGTAAGATAAATAAAAACACTGACAGTTATTCTTTTGATCCAGATTGTGTTTGTGGTAGAGTTTTAAAAATAATTCCCTAAGAGCTTAAACTGTCTAAATTATGGTAAATATGTCTGCTAATAAACTAGACAACTTAAAACTCAGTGTCTTACCTAGGTTGTACTAAGGTCCAAAAGAGCTAGGATAAGAAAAGGCATGCTCAAGTGCTAAACAAAGGGAAGACAGCACCATCACCACTGCGCATGTGCCCTCCGCAGCATTCATTATGTCATGACTGGTGATGGGCTTCAGCCACAGCAGTCTAACTTTCAAGTTTGTTTTCTTTTTAATATCAGCTCCATGTTTAATCAAATGAGGGTTGCTGCCTTCCCAGCACCAGAATATCCCTGCATGACTTGTAACATTACTATTCTCTATACAAGTCCTTCTATCCCAGCTCCAACAGAGGTGAGAACTCTGGGTCTTATCGAGTAAGGAAGCTCTTGGCAACCACTTTAAAGCTGCATGTTAACACAGCTGGTGTTTATCGAGGACTTCCTAGAACCAGTTACTAACTATGCCACCCAACTTGTTCTCCTTCAGTCTGCAGAATTACCATGTGTACTAGAAACTCTGACTCTCTATTTTATAAAGAAAGGTGAGCCAGGGCAAGCAGCTCTCCAAGTCACCCAGTGTCAGCCAGCAAGACAAATCTAGTGATTCCAGGTTGGGAGAGTGTTAATGCAATGCCAGTTGAGCTGATTTCTAACCACATTACTAAAACGTTGCTAAAATCACAATGAATGTGCTTGGACAACATTACGTAATAGTCAATATGCTGAGAAGCAACACTGTCCCTCAAGCCGAGTCATTCAGAATTCTTAGTCTGGCCTTTCACAATTGGCTCTGTCCGTCAGACTCAGACGAGGCTCTAGTTTGAATTCTAATGAGGAGTAGGAACACTGAATATTTAAACTGCAATTACAAAGATCCTGCTTTTATGCAGATGTCCTAAATACCAGTAAGAAAACTGAGAATACACATAGGTACTCATGGAAAATATCAGTCTAATTTCCGTTTAGAAGCTGGAAGAAAACCAATATTGTTTTCCACTTGATGCTATTATTGGGGGGGGGGCAAAAAGGGGAGGAAAAACCACACAATCTCAGTAAAAATTTTAAAGCCCAGGCTCCCAAGTGAAAGGTTCACAAAGAGGTGCTCGAATCCTTTGTTAACAACTGAACAAACAAATTCATCATCAGGCCCTTCTGCGCGGCCCCTTTGCAATATGGTCTGTACTTATGACTAGAAATTTCCTCACTGCAAAAGCATCTATGACTGATATGTAAGATCAGCAAGGAAGATATGCTGAGGGTAGGGAAACAAAAGACCATTTCACGGTCCACAGCCTATTTTTTGCACTCTCTTAAGTGAAATGATGATGTGCCCGGCTGTGGCTGCTACCCTCAGCTCACTTGAGTCCTCTTAGCTAAAACAGTAGGAGAGTCACGTGAACAGTAACCAAGATACACTTGGAGGAGTAGTTAATTTCTACCCTTGAACAGTTAAATCATACCTTGCTTGTAGCTTAACTTCTGTGGCATTTGGATATACTTTTGTAAATGCTTTTATGAAAAGAAAATATGGAGTTTTTTTTTTTCCCCCCTCCGATTGGTCCTCTGGTTGATTCTCTTCTGCTGGTACCAACTATGTCTGTTGAGTTTTGAATTTCAGGGTTTTCTTTTTATATCTAAATGTTTGAGTCGGTCCCTTTTCCAGTTTTCTGTATTACTTTTTATAGTTTCCTATTCCCTGAAGATAATTCCAAGTTTGATTTCTTTAATTATAGTAGGCATAACTGATCGTATATCTGTGCAGACTGGCCTCTGTGGTCTGTTACTGGTCCTTGCTCATGTGGTGCTCTTTCCACGTATACTAGGTTATCTTTGACTGTGTGCTGGTCATTGCCCTGATAATTTTGTTTTTGTTTGGTTCCTAGAGACCTGGGATAAATATGCTCTCCCCTCCAGGAGGCGATTTCACCATTTGGCAGCCTAGAGCTTTAACAGATAAGTGTGTCTGAAACCAAATTCAGGGTATGAACTTTCCTGGCCTATCCTGAGTACAATTAGCAAGAAGTAAGTCGTCATGAGGGCTTTCTGTGCTTTCAGTTTGTCAGCAACTATGACTTTTTTCCTTTCTTTTTCTTTTCCTATTCTGCTCAGTGCCAAGGCTGCCTTTCCCATAATCCCTGAGAACAAGTTTAGTTCTGATTCACTTTCATCCTAAGAGCACAGTTCTTCGGAGTCCCACTTGAACATGGGAAGTGTCTCCAACTACAGTGGGTCCAATTGCAGTGGACCCAGACCTCAACTTCTGCCCCCATCTGCCTGCCCCTCTCAGGCAGTAGAGGTCCCTGACTGCTGTCTGCAACTATTGTGATTTATCACATTAAAGGGAAAGAAACTATCAGAAAGTACCTCAGAATTCAGAGGCTGAACGCAAAACAAAAGATCAGGCTAGTGTGGTGGTTACTCAAAAAATAAAATTAAACACAGAATTGCCATTTAATTCAGCAACTCTACCTCCAGGAATATACACAAAAAGCAGGAAATTGAATTGATACTTGTACACTCAACTTCAGAGCAGCATTATTCATAATAGCCAAAAGGTGGAAACTCACAGGAGTCCACTGAGATAAATAAACAAAATGTAGTATGAAACTATCATTCATCCTAAAAAGGGAAGGAAATTCTGATGTATGCTACCACAGAGAGGAATAGTGAAAACATTATTCTAAGTGAAATACGTCAGATATAAAAACAAATATTATGATTCTGTTTATGTGTGATGGGCCCAGATAGTCAAATTCTCTGAATTTGACTAAACTTGTTCTCAAATATACCCAGTAGTCTGGGTGCCAGAGGCTGGGAGGAGTTCCCGTTTCATGGGTACAGAGTATCAGTTTGGGATGATGAGACAATTCTGGAAATGGATAGTTGTGATGGTTACATAACAATTCAAATGTACTTAAGGACACAGCTGCATACTTAAAAAATAGTTACAAAGATAAATTTTGTGTGTATATTTTACCACAATTAAAAAAATTAAAATATCAGGCTAATTTTGCCAAAAACAGATAGACCTGTACTCAGTAAATCTTACAACATACCCTGGGCACAAAAGCTTAGTACTGATCAGTGAGACTTGGAAGGTATTATCTGGGTTTCATAACTATAAGTCTGATCTACTTATAGCTTTGGAGGCCACATGGTAAACCTTCATCAATATACAAAAAGTACAATGCTTGTCAACAAATGCATATATAATTGCAATTTCCCTTTAAAACATAAGACCACAAAAAATGTTCCTTTAAAAGTATCAGGCAGGCATTAGAGGGCCTCCCTGGTGGCGCAAGGGGTTAAGCACCGCACTATGAAGCAATCTGCAGCCTCTGCAGCATGAGTTCAATCCCTCACCTGCCAGAGAGCAACCCACATGGCGAAGTAGGCCTCTCCTGTTTCGCCCACTACTCCCCTCAGCAGTGTATTTCAGTCAGTCTGCCTATTCTGTTCCCCACTCTGTCTCTGGTGAATCCTCTCACCCCCCAGCATCTCTGGCCTGTACCCCAGCTCTTGTATGCATAAATAAATAAATCTTAAAAAAAAAAAGTATCAGGCATTGGAAATGTTATAAAGATGGTTATTTGGGTGTTGACCCACAATATAGACAAAACTACTATGTAACCATTAAGAGAAAAATTGAAGGGATAGGAGAAAGAATTCTCTCTAAAGCATTTCCATTGAAAATAATAAAGAAATTTCTCCTTTCAGTATCTATTTAATATTGCTATACTGTATTTATTCCTTTGAATCACTACATAAAATTTTGTTACAGATACTATATGTACATATAACTAAATATAGGTGGTGCATAAAATCAATTTACAGTAAACATATTTTAAAATACCAATAACAGTTATGAAAACATGCATTTTAGTATTTCTGGGAGTCTCTGAATTTTTTATTTTCAAAAAAACCTAAATGGTTTAGTTCAGAAGATTTTTATGGACATTTCTGGGTATAAATACCAACACCAGGAAAGACCATAAAATAAAAAATTGGCAACAGTAGAAACAACATTTTCCATCAGGTTTTCATGAATGATTGTTGAGGGCTAATATTGCTAATACAAAAACTTACCACCTCATCTATGAATATGTTCATTCCAAATTAATGGCAACATGACAGTTTAGCACACAAGAAAAGACCTCAGGAAAGTTGCCATTTAACTGGGAAGATTCTTCCTTCTCTGGACATATAAAGATAATAGCTAATATTTGTTCACTGACACCATCAGTGAAATACTATTAAATAGTGAACACTCGAATTCTGTCCTAGCCCAATTCACTCAGATCTCCAAGAAAGGGCCTGGGGATCAGTATTTTAAGAATTGCATCAAATGATTCTTATCTTGGCATGGATATTCCCATTTTATACAAGAAGTAATGTGACAGCCAGAGAGAACATCACTAAATAAAAGATTTGATCTCAGTTGGACTTCAGGCCCTAGGCTCTCAACTGTTTTGCAGTTCAAGTTGCAACAATTTAGCTTGTGACTTAAAAAGGACACAAAAGTAAGCAATACTACCTTTAAAATCCATGGGATCTACCACTACCTGCCTGCAGAATGTCACACAAGTTCCCAAACTACTATAGTTTGTAAGCATAAAGGTTTCTTATTTGAAATTAAAAAAAAAAAAAGAACAATGCCATTATACTTCCCCTGCACAGATAAAGATTTGCTTCAATTTAACAGGATTTTGGTATCTTTGAGCATATTTATTGTTTCACCCAATGGGTGTGTCTATATTAGAAAAGCAACCAAATCCTCTCAGTAATTAGATAAACAAGGAAACTCAAAGCAGAGTAAATGTTTGTGCTATTAAAGACCCAGAGCCGTGACTATAGCCATCTCTTACCACAAGATGTTGACTTTCTGTCCACCATATTCACACGCCTGGTTTCAGTGCGAAGTTTCTCATCCGTATTTTCCACCAGGTTGGCAAGGTCATCAATTATCTCTAGAAAGGAAAACAAAGATACATGGTTAATACTCAAAAAATGCTCTGGTTCACATCAAACTATTCCAGTTATGGTAATTCTTCCTAGTAATACATCTCTCAAGTATACCGAGAGAAAAGGGAACGAACTCACGGATAGTCTTTGAAAACTGTAATTTCTGATTCAAAGAAGAAAAAAAAATTAACAAAGGAGAAATGTCAAAAATTCAGAGGAGAGAAGGCATGAATCTATGAAATTATGGCCAGCCGAACTGTCACTTGAGTATAAAGGTGACAGACAGCAAAGATGACTTCAGGAATAATGGGGCCCATCTTAGGAGAAATGCTTGATGATGAAATAGTCAACCAAGTGGTGATAGCGATAAAGAACTCTAGAATGGAGAAGCAGGGGACAGAAATAACTGAATCCATTTAAATACTGAGTTGAAAAACATACATGAATTAGGCTAGAGAAAGACATGAATGTTATAAACAGTGACAGTATAATTATAACAGTTGGGGAGGAGGAAGGTGAAAAGAAGTTGAAGGTGTTAATCTCACAGGAGAGTCTATCAGGATGTTAAAAATGTAAAACACAGAAAACTTGGAGCTTTAGAAAATCACCAAAGCAGCAATGTTTTGTATAATCTTTCTGTTAACCTTAGTAATTTTAGCAATTACTTTTAGTTCTTAGTAATTACTATCTCTTGTGATGAATCCTTTGTGACGTTTACCTTTTTTTACACTAATCTTTTTAAAAATTAAGTACTTACCATTTAAAATAGCACATATAGCATGATCTTAATTATGTAAAATTATTCCTATCCATCCACTTATATGCATAGCAGTACCCCCCCCCCTTGTCCTCCAAGATCCTTAATAGAGGCTTGGAACCTCAACAGTACTGAATCCTATTTATGTTTTCCCCTACACATACATACCTTATGATAGTTTATCAACTGGGCACAGCAAGAGATTAACAATAATCCATAATAAAATAGAACAATTATAACAATATAATGAAAGTTAAATGAATGTCATTTCTCTCAAAATATCTTACTGTATGTAATATTTCTGGCTTGTGGTTGGCTGTGGGTAACTGAAATCTCAGAAAGCAAAACCTCGGAAAGAGAGGACGACTGTGCACACATATATGGATGAATCTGGGTGATGTTAATCATGATTATATCTAGGGATACTAGGGTATCTTCCTTTTACTTCCTGTATTGTTTCCTGTGTTCTTATGATGAACATATATTATTTTATCAATTTTGATTCTTTTTACTCCCTCCACCCCTTCCTTCCTCTTTTAGTGATCACGTCGGAGATACTGTCCAAAACACACGACCATTTTTCTGAAAGCATGAAATAAACACGGAAGTCAAAAAGGGTTTCCAAAATGGGATGTGAGCTAAGTTTTGAAGGCCCTTTGAGTGCAGAGGCAGGAAAAAGCAATCCATGCACAAAAAGAAGCATGTGAAAGACAAGAAGAGGTGGTGGTCTGTCATCTGGCCTCCCTACATCACTTCTTCCAGCCTCCCTTTACTTATGGTCCTCAGATTTTGTATTCTAATTATTTGTTTGCATCTTTTTTTTTTTTTTTTTTTTGATTCATCTCTGTTTCTCCCACCCATCCCTGGGAGAGCACCTAGTACACAGCAAGACAAAATAAATTCTAAAAGATAAAGGCAGTGAATGAATGGCTTCTAAAAGATAAAAGCACTGAATAATTTCAAAGCACTTTGATGCTTCTTAGAAAAGTGGATCGAAGCCAAATTTGTCAAATATTGTCTATATAACACTTACCTAGAAAATCTTTCACTATTATTTAACAATTCATTCATAACCCTATTCCTTTGTATTCAATGACATACTCTCTCCCAGTTTTCCTTCTATCTGTCTACAAGCTCTGTCAAGAGTCTCCTCTTCTTAAATGCTGGCAACCCCCTGAGTTCTGCATATTTTTGCTTTTTAATACTAACACAGTGGTATTATATCACTGAGTTCACCAATATTTAAAATAAAAACCTGAAAACTTTTTGCTCTACAGTGCTTCAACATTTTTGACACCTAAACCAACTGCTTACTAATTTCTACCTTAACATTTCTACCAACAAACCTCTGAATGTCAAGGTCTCTGAACTCCTCATCTGCTCTCAGATTTGACTTCTATATTCCTAGTCTCACTTAATGGCACCATTGTTCATTAGCTTAGCTGAGCTAGAAATCTGAAGAGCTGCTCAGTCTTCTCCCTTCCCTTTCATATGACATTCCATTTATTAGACAGTAGTCAGTTCTACCTCCCCAGGATCTCTTACTCCCACAGCTTTTTCTGACCTGTTACTATTTCTCACAAAATTTTGCCAGTGTTTCTCAAATAGTGTTCCAATGTACAGTCCTACTTCTAGTCCTGAATTCTTTTAATCCAATCTCCATACAATAGGCAGGAACATACATATTTTTTCAAGTCACAATTAAAATTTCAATGCTTGTATTTGGCTAGTGGCTGCTGTACTGTACAACATAGCTCTAAAGCAATCACTTAAAAAAAAAAAAAAAAGAAAGCCAACACACACACACACCCCTCACCCACTATCACCACCAAGAGGTATATATAGTTTTAGAAAATATCAAGAGGGAATAAAATTAAATAGAAAAAATGCACTATTCCCCCAAAAGGAGAGAGGAAGGGAGGAACAGAAACAAAGAAGAGAAGGGACAAAAAACCAAATACCTAGAAGGCAGACATCAATCCAACTCTATTAATAGTCATATTAGAAATAAATGGAGTGGGGCCTCCCTGGTGGTGCAGGCTGTTGAGCACAGCACTGTGAAGCTGTCTGCAGCCTCTGCAGTGCTGGTTGGATCCCTGATGGCCACAGAGCAATGCAGATGGTGCAGCAGACCTCTCCTGTTGCACACGCTGCTCCCCTCAGCAGTGTATTTCAGCCAATCTGCCTGTTCTGTTCCCCACTCTGTCTCTGGTGAATCCTCTCACCCTCCCACACATCTGGCCTGTACCCTGGTTCTTGTATAAATAAATAATAAAAATCTTTAAAAAAAAGAAATAAATGGACTAACTCCTCTACTCAAAGACCAATGCTAGACAAGATTGAAAAAATAAAAAGATGACAACTTCATGCTTTTAACAGTAAATACAAAGCACAGAGAGTGCATGAGAAAGCTGGTATGGCTGCATCAGCATGAGACAGACAGGCTGCAAGTCAAGGAGTATTATTAGAGGTCAAAAGGAACCTTTGTTATGATGAAAGAACACATGACAAAATCCAAAAAAATCTCCAATAAAAATTAAGGAAATGACCTCTAAATAACCCATGGGACAAAAATGAAATCACAAGAGAAAATAGCAAATATTTTGAACTGAATAATGACAATCAACCCCAAATTTGTGAAATTCAATTAAAGCAGTGCTGAGAGGAAATTTTACTGCTCTAAACACAAATATTAAATAAAACATAAAACCAACGACAAGACTAAAGGAAATATGACCATCTCAAAAACTGCAGGAAAAGGATAAGAAAAAATTTAATATTCAGGATACAAATTCTCAGCACAATTGGAATGAAGGGGAAATTTTTCAATGTGGTGAAGGACTCGTTTGGAAAAACTAGTGCTAACATCACACTTCATGGTGAAACACTGACCGCTTTTCCTCTAAAGCCTGGAACAAAGCAGACATCTGCTCTGACAACTTTGAACATTTTATTAGAACTCTCACATTTATTTAAAGATTTATTTTTGCACAGAAGAACTGAGGTGTAGGCAAGAGGTGCAGGGATGAGAGGATTCACCACACAGAGTGGGGAGCTGAACAGGCAGATCTACTGAGATACACTGCTGAGGGGAGAAGCTGGCGAGACGGAGAGGTCTGTTTGCCTTGTGGATTAGCTCCCTGGCTGGGGATGGAACTCAGGTGGCCTCAGAGGGGCTTCGTGGTAGTAGTTAGCACTACTGACACTTAGGAAGTCCCCTAAAAGTCTCACATTTTAAGAAGGCAAGGGATAAAAGCAAAAAAAGATTTTAAAAGATATAAATAAGTATATGTATCTGCTGAAGACATGATTGTATACATGGGAAACCATATAATCTATTTTAAAGCTACTAGAATAAGTGAATTTAACAAACCTGTAGATATTTCAATTAGGAAAAAAAACAATGATTTTTCTATATACTAGTGACAACTGAAAAATTAAAGTAAAAATATCATTTACAATAGCAGAAACAATTACATCAAATACCTAGAATAAAATATAAAAAAAGATGTGTAAGACCTCTATACTAAAAACTAGAAAACCTAAACAAATGGAGAGTTGCACCATATTAATGGATAATACAATATTTTACAGATATCTGTTCATTCTCCTTAGTTGATCTACACATTCAATGCAATCCCAAAGTGCCAGCAGGCTTTTAAAATGAAACTGGCAAGTCAATTCTAAAATGTACATGCAATACCAATGATTTACAACAGTCAAAATAATCTTCCAAAAACAAACTTAGAGGAATTACACTATCAAAATTTAACATTTATTATGAATATTTAGAAGCCAAGGTAGTGTGATATTGGGATAAAGACAGAAAAATTAATCAATGGAACAAAACAACCCAGAGATGGATGTGTGTGTGTGTGTGTGTGTACACTTAATTCTCAACAGAATTGTATCAATGGCAAAATCAATCAAACAAGGCAAGAACAATCTTTTCAACAAATGAGGCTGGAACAACTCTATGGGGGAAAAAAAACAACTCTTGATCCTTTCCTCCCACTGTAAACAAAAAATTAATTTGAGATGGTTCAAAGACCTGAAGAAAAAAATAGAAGAAAATCTTCACAAACCTACGGGTAGGCAAAAATTTCTTGGACGGAATATAAAGACTATCCACAAAAGAAAAGAAACTGGTCACTGGACTTTACCAAAAAAAAACTTTCTGTTCATCCAAAGATACCATTTTGACAATAAGCCAGACTAAGAGTTTGTAGGCTGTATATATGACAAAAT